TATATCCTGTTGTTCTTTTGTTTAATCTCCCTGAAGCTGTATGATGTTGGGCATTCTCCTTATGTTTTTTGTCAGTTCCATTTTTAATTTGGGTTATGTGTTGCCATGGTTGTTTCAAAAACTGACTTGAGTCCCTTATACATTCTAATAATTAGTCCCTTATACAACAAATGATCTAACATCCTACCTCCAGTTCTGTGGCTGTCATTTTATGATGTTGTTTTTTTTTTTTTTTTTTGCAGTATCAAAACATTCTTAGCACAGTAAAGCCCAACATTCACTTTTGCCTTGGTTACTTATGCTTTCTGGGTAATAAAAAAACAAAACAAAACATCAAAACAAAACAAAGTTCAGACCAGTGTCCAAATGTTTTCCTTATATTGTCTTCTGGGATTTTCATGTCTAACATTTAGGTCTTGATCCATCTTCCATTGACTTTTATACACAGTAGAAGATAGGTGTCCAGTTTCTTTACTTTGCATATAGATATCCAGTTTTCTCTGAACCTTTCATAAAAGGATAATACTTTTTCCAGGGTATGATTTTACTGCTTTTATTGACATCAACTGGCTATAAAAAACATGATTTAAACTCTGGGTTCTCTTTTCAACTAGTTTAAGAGTCTGGTTTTAAGTTGCTGGGGGTGTTTAGCTTTTTTTTTTTATTTTGGGGAGTTTTGATTTGGGTTTTTTTGTTTGCTTGTTTTATGGTTTGGTTTTTTGTTTGTTTGTTTGTTTTTGTAAGACAGGGTTTCCCTGTGTAACAGCCCTAGCTGTCCTGGAATTCACTTTGTAGACCAGGCTGGCCTTGAACTCACAGAGATCTGCCTTCCAAGGGCTAGGATTACAGGCCTGTACCACCACTGACAGTCTTTAGTTGTTGTTTTGATTAATGTCACTTTCCAGTATGTTTTGAAAACAGATATTGTGATACCCACACCTTTGTTCAGAATACTTTAGCTATTTGGGATCTTTTGTGGTTCAAAAAAATTTTCTTTCAGTGAAAAGTATTGGTATTTTGGCAGAGTCCATTAAATACCTAGGTAAGTTGGGGTAGTGTGTGTTAGATTATTTAAAGAGCAGCTGTAGAGAGAGGGAACATGGAACTAAAGAGAGGCTTGGCCTGACCTTAGGTGGGACTGTGGTTTTGTTTTGTTTTTTTGTATTGTTTTTATTTTTTTTAGTTTTTCGAGACAGGGTTTCTCTGTGTGGCTTTGGAGCCTATCTTGGCACTCTCTCTGGAGACCAGGCTGGCCTCGAACTCACAGAGATCCCCCTGCCTCTGCCTCCCGAGTGCTGGGATTAAAGGTGTGCACCACCAACACCTGGCTGGGACTGTGTTTATTCATGGCAAGGGGACATTTTTGTCATGTCTACAGAAGATGATGGGAGGTGGCTCCACAAGGACACTGAACTCTGAGAGGACTTAAAAATGCAAGACAGGAGTGTTATAACTGTTTTTTGCTGAGGTGGGTCTTTTTTGGATGGTCCTTTAGCTTGGGGGTGGGGAGGTATCTTAACTTAATCGACTAAAATGGATCAGACAAGCCATCCTATATTTCTGAGGGGACATGGAAAACAATTATTTGATGGTTGTAAGCAGGCGGTTGTTTACAGAGTAAAACTGAGATATTTTTCTGGGAAGGTTGAAGGATAGGAAGGAACAGAGGCAGAAGACATAAAGCAGAATGGTGAAAGTGGGCAGAGAGTTGACTCAGGGTGACAGTGACTGGTCTGTTGCACCAAAAAGAATTAGCAGAAGTAGCAGGGAACAACAGAGCAAAGGAGGGCACAGGAGAAAATTCAGAACTAACGTAAATTGTGACTGGCCAGGGGTAAAATGTTGAAGGTCTCTTCTAGGTATAGTTTCTCCATAGCATCTAAAATGTCTTTTGGCAGAGGTATCAGGAACAAATGGAGCTATTGTAGGGTGAGAGCTATTGGAAGAGCTTGCATGGAATATTTTGTTTGGATATAGAGGGAAGTTCAGCAATTAATGACTTTAAAAGACAGGTCAAACTCAAATGGCTAAAAGACATTTAAGGAATTGCTTACCATCCTTAGCCATGGGGAAATGCAAATCAAAACAACTCTGAGATACCATCTTACACCTATCAGAATGGCTAAGATCAAAAACACTGATGACAGCCTATGCTGGAGAAAATATGGAGTAAGGGGAATACTCCTCTATTGCTGGTGGGAGTGCAAACTTGTACAACCACTTTGGAAGTCAGTAAGGCAGTTT